CTAGAAGGGTGGGATAGGGAGGGCGGGAGGGAGGTGCAAGAGGGAGGGGATATATGTATACATATAGCTGATTCACTTTGTTATACAGCAGAAACTAACATAACATTGTAAAGCAATTATATTCTAATAAAGATGTTAAAAAATAAAATAAAAGTCTGTTTTGCCCTGTATTAGTATAACTGCTTCATCTCCCTTATGGTTATAGTTTGCTTGGTGTATCTTTTTCCATCCTTTCACTTTCAGTGTATTTGTGTCTTTGAACCTGAATTTTGCCTCTTATAAATAGCATATAGGTAGAACTTGTTTTGTTTTTGTGTTTGTTTTTTTTAAATTTGCAGTTTAACAACTTTTATCTTTGATTAGAATTTTGAATTTATTCACATATTTAAGTTTTTTACGATTGGATTTATGCCTGCCATTTTGCTACTTATTTTCTATGACATTATTTTTGTTCCTCTGTTCTTTGTTTACTGCTAACCTTTTTTAAAAAATTAAATAGATATTTTCTAGTGTACTGTTTATAATAAATTATTGATTTTTAACTCTTTTTGAATTATTTTCTTAATGGTTGCTCTGGGAAGTCTTTTATTATCTGTTCTTTCATGTGTTTTTACTTATGTGCCCAGTTATCTTTGTGTACCGGTTGTTGTATTTGAATACTTCTCTGTGGAGTTAATTTGAGGCCTTGAATGGAAGTTCTTTCCCTCAGAGGTTTTCCTTTGCTTCTTCCAGGTGCCTGGGAGAACCACCATCTTGGGACCCTTGTTATCCAGTTTTGAGGCTCCCAGGCCCTGTTAGGCTACGTGTCTCACACACCTCTTACCTTGAGGAGGTAACCTGCCATGGCCTGAGCTAGGAAATGCTGTCGTTGACTAGCAGTCCCACCCCCACCCCGCCGAGTCTTGAGCAGACACTTCGCTCTGATTTCCATTCCCTGCAGCCTCGCAGGGTTACCAGAACCATCGGTCGGAATTTCAGCTGTTTCTTGTAGATCAGCGAGGACTTGAGGGTACAAGTGGCTTGTTTCCTCTCTCGGCTAATGCTTCTCAGAGATTTGGGCCCAGTAGTTCCCCACAATCTTGTTAACTCTATGTTTAAGACTCTTTCAATATCTTTTACAACTTTCTTGGTTGAACAGAGCAGGATTATTTGTGTGCCATTAGCCTGTCATTTCTGCAAGTGGATTTGGAGGCATTTTGACCTGCCTGTGGGTCCTGCCCTGCTCTGTACAAGCTAAGTAGCAAAATCATGGGCAGACAACTTCTCTCGAGCTTACTTACTTCCCCTAAGTATCTCGGAGTTTGGGAAAACGTAGGTAGGTCACGTATGTGAGTCCCTTGACACCGTGCTTTGGAAATAGGCTCTCAGTGTGTGGGTTGGGTTTGCTCTGTTCTCTTCCCTGTGCTTCAGGATCCTCTGTTTGGAGTGTGGGTCCTAAGGCTGAGGTTTGACCAGGGAATTTCTATCTTGGTCTTCAAATACTATTTGTCTAAAAGTCAAGCATAAGAAGACTTAACAAAAACAAAAAACTCAACTTTGCTTTCTTCCACAGAAGATCTTCTTGGCTGTAGACTATTATTTCCTTCATTTGCAAGTGGTCCGTCCTGCCCCTCACCCATCCTGGGTGTTGGTCATCCCTGGGAGTCCACAGCCTCGCTCCCTCAGGACCACCCTCCACTCAGAAGTTACAGAACTCAAAGATGCCGTTTTCTTTTAACTCTGAAATTCTTTGGCTAGATTAGTTTTTCTCTACCCAATATTTTTATGGTCAGAAAGGAAACAGTGTTTCATCTTGAATTAGTGTTATTTTTTATAATACATTAAAATTCTTTTCCCTTGGCTGCCAAGAACATTTCTTACCTGGCTATCATGGTGGAATCCTGCACACTTTAGGCAAATAAATATGGAGGTTTTGAACCCTCCCTCCTGTAGTAAGGATAGTCCATCTACAGATACACCTTGAGATCAGGACATGCAGACTCTGGGCTTTTGCAGTTCATGCTTGATGACCCTTTGTATCCATCCTTTAGGCCCCCCTCCTATTTGCATTTCAGATACCAGCTGACTTTTATTAAAACCAGCTCCTGGTATGGGGTACCAGCTGTGAGCACAGTGACCTTGACCAGGGCAGGCCCCTCCCCGGGACGGGCGCTGATAGGCATGGCCTCCGGTGAAAGGTGGTGGGATCACAGCCCACGAGCAGAAACACATCTGGGCTTGTTATTAAAATATCACATCACTTTTCATGTATAATAAATATCTTTTCATGCTTCCATCTTTCAGCAACTTTTTCCTCTTTCAAAATGGTTTTGGGAGAACAAGGAGCTTATCTATAATCTGCAGAGTCACTGTGCAGCTGAAACAGTCTATTATTCTGTTATGCTATCACTTTGCAGTGTGTTCGTCCTTGACCTTCTCAGCTGATGGTCAGGGGTGTGTAAAATGTCTTTGGTATTCTCCTCATACTTGCAGATGTTCACTTTATTCAGACACCCAGCAGCAGAGGTGATTCCGGTAAACAAGGTGATGGAAGACTATATTAGAATGTTCTTGAGAGCTAAGACTTTCTGGACAGTTTTGCTTTTTGCGTACATAGATCCTTGAACTGTAACACTGGACCCTCCGTTGATCCTGTGTTCAAATTTTACCTCTGACATGTAATTGCTATGAGATTTTGGATGAGTTCCGAAGCAATTCCAAACCTTGGTTTCCTTGGCTACAAAATGGGGATAATATTAGCTGCTCTGTCTCCCAACTATAGAAGATTGTGATAAATATCAGAAAAAGAGTGTTGTGTTTTGTAAATGGTGAGGTGGATTGAAAATACAATTCAGTCCTGAGAAGACGCTTCATTTGTTCTACAAATATTTTTTAAGTCCAGCCAAATACAGGAGCTGAGCTGGTCCACACAAGATGCCCCATCCCAGTGGACATCTTGGTGCCACTGAGTAAGTGTGGGAATTAGAAACCAGAAGGCTTGTGGTGTGGTTCCTGGGGTGCTTGCCTGGGTTTGGAGGAAGTGGGGCTTGCATGTGTGGTGGTGCCACTGCACAGCGTCCCGGAGGAGGTCACACTGTGAGCAGAGACTAACCCTAACCCTGACCCCAACTGTGGCTTCCTCTACTCTCCCCACTTTCTCTTTGAAATACTGGCCTGGTCCTGTGCAGACTTGTGCACCTTCCCACACGTAACCAGGAGTCGGGACTGGTTTAGTAAACCTCAGAACTTTGTAGGATTCTGCGTGAGGCCACCAGACACAGGGCCATTTTTCAAGAGTTTGATCAATAGACCTTCCCTTTCAGGGAAATTTCCCTGCTTTTCTCTCTGCCCTGCTGTCTTGCTATACCCTTTGTGAGAGAGAAATAGGCTAAACTCTAGTATAACTTCTTTTTATCCTCCTCACATCACCCACGCTTTTCTGCTTCAATTTTCCTTGTTTTCTTTTTTAAGATTCCCAGCTGTGGCTGACCATGCACGTGCCTGCAAGCATGTTCCTGATGGGAGCCAGGGAAGGATTCAGGCCTGGAATAGCCGACTTCTCTGCTCCTGTTCTGACAGCTTCCTCCCTGCATTTCTGTTCCCACCTTCACACCTGCTTCCTGCCTGCTGGGGGTGCTGCTGTGCCTGGAGGGGCCCCTGCCCTTCCTGTGCCCCTCCTTCTCCCCCTCTCCCTCCTCCCCTCTGCCTCCTCCCCTCCCCGCCGGTATTTCTCCCTCCTCCCCCTCCCCCTCCTCCTCTTTCAGCACCTCCCTCCCCACCTCCTCACATTAGCCACAGGCTTCCTCTCAGCTTACTTCATCCACAGCTCATTTGATTAGCACAGTGCTCATGAGGCCATTTTGCAGAAATAAGGGATACAAATACAGCTCTTTTAGTTTATCTTATTGCTCAGTTTAAAGATAAATATCCTCCCAATGACATAGTGGGCATATTTGTACCTTTAAATAAAACACTGAAATCTTTTTGACTTTTTATCAATTTAAAGCACTTTTTTTTTTTTTTTTTGGCGGTACGTGGGCCTCTCACTGTTGTGGCCTCCCCCGTTGCGGAGCACGGGCTCCGGACGCGCAGGCTCAGCGGCCATGGCTCACGGGCCCAGCCGCTCCGCGGCATGTGGGATCATCCCGGACTGGGGCACGAACCCGTGTCCCCCACATCGGCAGGCGGACTGTCAACCACTGCGCCACCAGGGAAGCCCTAAAGCACTTTTTAAAATTGTGAGATGGAACGTACCTATAGAAAAATACACAGAACATACGTGTACACTTTAAAGATTAATTAGGAGGTAAATACACGTGTAACTACCACCCTGACCCTCCCCACAGAGGCATCACTATTCTGACTTTGGGATGATAATTTTCTTGCTTTTCTTTATGATAGTTCGTATCAAGTGTATATTTCTTAAATAATCAGGTTAGTTTCGCTTGATTTTGAGTTTTAAATAAACGGAATAATACTATGTATATTCTTTTGTCTTGCCTCTTTCACTGAGCATTATGTCTGTGCAATTCATTTATGTTGTGTGTAGCTGTTGTTTAATTTCACACTTGAATGGTATTTGACTGTAGAAATGCGCACAATTTACTTGTCTGTGCTGGTATCTGTGAACATCGGGCTGTTCCCCGATTTGAATGACGCTGTGGTGAACGTTCTGTACATCTCTTCTGGTACATACGTGTAAGACTTTTTCTGCCCATGTGGTGAAGTTACTAGGTCTTGGGGATCTGAGTCTCCACCTTTCTGGACATGCCCCACTCTCTTCCCCAGGTCCTCATCCCTGCCAGCCGTGTGAGTTCTGGCTGGAATTGTCCAATTTCCCGCGTGCCCTACACTGCAGCCTGGGTGCTCACGTTCCCAGCCGACTGACAGGGTCATGGACTGCTGGGCAGCATCTGAACTGCCTGTTCTGGTCTCTTGCCTACTTTGCTGTCGGGCTGTCTGTCTTCTTGCTTGTTTGTCAGAGTTGCTTCCAGGGAGTTTAAATGTGTTCTCTCCTGTAGGATGACGTGATGATGCCTCAGAGGGTGAGGCTGCAACACGCAGCTGCTGTGCGACACCCAACAAGTGTGAGTACGGATGTTTCTGCATGTTTCTGCTGCATTGTTACACGTTTTGGTAGAACTGCCATTGCACCTTTTTAGATTAAGATTCTTCCTTAGGATAGGAAGAGTCAGTTTGTAATCAGACTGCCCCCTTGGAGAATGATGTGTGCCTGGTGTGTCTGCACACTCAAGGGTGTTTTCCTTTGAAGGAAAATGTGCTTCTTGCTTTGGGTAGCACTGGTTACTTTCAAATGCGTCCAAAGTATTTTTTTGGTTTGGTTTAGTTTAGTTTGGTTTTATCAGCATTTCAGAAGCTGTGTACCTTGGACACGAAAACAGGTTGAGAGCTGTAGGGTATATCAGTTAAAAAAAAAAAATTCCATTAGCTACATAACCTCAGACTACGTTCTCATCTTTAGAATGGCTTCCCCTTCGGCCCCCATGAGCCAGGCTCTCTAGGACCCGTCCTCCTTGGCACTCGCTGGGTGAGAGCTCACTTCCCCCGGCAGGAGCCCCATTTCAGGGGGCTCCCACCCACTTGGACCTGGGGGAGCATCTCGGGCCCATGGATTCCTCGCTCCCGTGTGACTCAGGGTCAGGGGTGCCCCAGGCGGTTGAGCCCCAGAGCTGGTGTCTGACCACAGAGCCCACTGCTCAGATCTCTATGCTGAAATTTTAGTAAAAACATCTTTGAATTACTGTGGTGATCACTGGTTTTGAAAGTGGGAAGGAGAAAGGTCTGGAACTGTCTTAAGATAAATCGTGTCTGATTGCTTGGGAGCAGCCTCCAGGTTTTGCTCACTTCTGCTGCGGTGCCATGTCCACCCATGTCCACACACTAAAGCATCTCCAGGCCACGTACACATGAGCCCCTGGGATCTGATCCCAGGTGTTGGTGGGACCTGAGACTCTGCATTTCTCATGGGCTCCTGGGCACTGTGTTTGGGGTCCGACTGCCTGGCCACTGGGCCTTCAGGAAGGAAAGAGCCTGTTCATGGCACAGGGCTCAGGGCTCAGAGAGTGGACCCTATGAAACATGTACTGAGTTAAGACAAAGGCTCAAATATACACTTCCTTCAGATACAATTTCTCAAGGAGTTTGAAGGACATTTGTTCACCCAAGATGAATTCTTTCTCTTCCAATAGCCCCTTATTTTGGAGCTCTGAATTTAGCCCACTGATTTTCTGCTTCTAGGAAACGTAGCCCTTCATGCTGTGTCTCTAGCTGCCCAGCCCCTGCACACCTGACAGTGACTGGGGACTTGGCTGTCATGTAAACAAACCTACGCACTCTGCCTGAGGGCTCTTGTCTTTTCATGGAATAGGTGATGTTTCACAGCCTTAAGTTTGATGCTGAGGATTCTTATTCCCAGAATTGTAATTGCCCTTATATTGCTTAAACTTAAGCATTGTTAATGTTAACATGTCCTTGAGATACGCCTGTAAGAAGATAAAAATGGCCTTCGGCTACTTCTTGAGAGGCCGCTCCACTGCTCCTCAGGCTGGAGCTTCCAGAGGCTAGATGTGAGGGAGGTTCAGGAGTGCCCAGCCGCCTCTTTATTGAGAAGTGGCCCTTCGCCGAGGTAGCATCATGGGGGCCAGTGCACGCCCTGGGTCTGATGGCAGGGGGCTGGTGTTGCCTCACTCACCAGGACTGCTGGAATCCTTGGGCCGGTCCCCTAGGGCCCAGAGTCCGTTCTTTGACCAGAAGGTCAGGAGTGGTAGTAACTAGACCAGCCTTCGGGGAGGGGCCCACAGCCTCTTTTCTGGCCCAACAAGCCAGCACTGCCTACCCCAGCACCCACCCCCAGTGCCCCCATGTCCACCCACAGCATCTCACAGGTCTGCTCCTCCCAGCAGACTCCCCTGCTCACTGACCAGGGCCTGGGGGTTTGTGTGTGTCCTTGCCCTGAATGGGGCTGGGCTGCAGTATCAGCCCCTTTTGGGGTCGTGCCAGTGTACCACGCCAGCCTGCCTGTGAACCTGCTCTATCACTGGGTCCTGGGGACCAGCCCCGTGAGGCCCTGGGTGCAGCTGAAGGAGAGGTCAGAGCCATGGGTGGGTGACCCGTGGAGTGGTCTCCATGGCCGTGAGGCCACTCAAGCTCTGCCTTGGTGGTCTGACAGTACCCAGCTCCTGGTGGGCAGTGTGGCCACGTGGTGCCCTGGCCACGCCACCTTGAATGGCCCACAGCTCCATGTCACAGGGTCCTGGGGTCTGTGCTGTGACGGCCCCGCTGGGGCCACAGGTCTCCATGTCATCGACTGCCACCAGCTTCCTCCAGGACTCTGCAGCCTCAGGGCCAGATGGCAGGCCCGTGCTCCTTCGGACCCCACTCTTAACTATGGTCGAGGGTGAACAGGACCCCAAGTGGCCCAAGGAGACCTGCCAAGTCCTGTGCCGCTCTCTTCATGGTCCCTCACCTCAGAGGTAGTGTTGCGGTGCCCAGACCTCTGGACCCAAAAGTCTTGCTCATCAGGTGCCACAGGATGTCCTCAACACGGTGGCCAGCGTGCAGACCACTGAGCAATGTGAAGACAGCAGAAAGGGTCCCAGTGCTGACTCGCCGATGCGGCCTGTGAGCGGGACGCCTGCTTCTGCAGGGCTGTGTGGGGACCAGCACCCCCTTCCTTCAAGCCTCCAAGGTGGCCCAGTCTCTACTTTTTCCCCAGGATGTGATATTGTGTTTGATTTACACTCAAGGCTGGGATGGCCTCCACCTGGCCCTTCTCTTACACTAGCCCCTAATCACACCCCAGGGAACCCGTGTGAGGCTCAGCTGGGTGCTAAGCCTGTGCTTTCTGGTTACACGTTCAGGAACCTGGAAGTGGTCACTGGTGGGACCTGTGTGCCCATGAGCCCAGTTTATTACCTGACTTGTGGACCCTTACTCCAGTGGGCGTGATGGGTCTGGTGTCACCTGGGCCCTGTGTCCAGCCGCCTCACATGATCAGTGTCCCCTCCGGCCTTAGATCCTGCATCTTAGGTGCATCTCCCCTGCCGTCACAGGTCCATCCTCGTGGGTGGGGCCTCTCCTTCAGCTGGTGGGTCTGAGTCTGAGAACTGGCCCAGATCTGGAAATGGTCAGGGGTGATTTTCACAGTTTCCAAGCACTTCGAATATATTCTACATTGAAAAAAGAATTTTGTCTGAAGAATTTTGTAACCAGTGTATACATTATAGAGAGTGAGATACTTTCAGATACACTGTCCACCCCCGCCCCCTTTTTTGTGTGTGTGATTGGTTCACATGTGAAGTTACTCTTGGTTGTTCTCCACGTGTAAGTTCAAAGACCTAGAAATCTAGGGATATATAAGGAATTTGGAAAAAATGTAGACAGTGTCAGTTAATCTTAATTAAAACACATTGGCTTGTGCCTTTATAAAGTTCTAGGTTAGAGCTTTTCTTGCTAACCTTGTGTTAAGTGCACTTGATACTCTGCTCCCAGTGCTGGAGCACCTGTGCCCACTCTGGCATCACAGGTTTGCAGCAAGACCAGGGGTTCAGAACAGTCCTGTTGCACCAGAACAAAATCAGCTTTAGAAGGGTTGTTACTGTAGTGCTGGGCTTTTTAAAAGTCATGACCTACAAAAATCTTGATTTGCAGTTGCTGGTTGGTGGTTTTGTTGATTATATCACATTGTTTGGAAAGAATGAAATGAATGCTAAGTATATGTTTGTCCTTGGTCATTACTTCTTTAAGGCCATTTACAAGAAAGCCATTTAATTATGAGGGTGGCAACTTCCATAAATTGTGCCGCTGCATATTCTCTGCAGAACTTCTGAGATGTTACGTGTCAGGCGTCACTGGTGTAGAATTTCTCCACCCACTTATTGAGCATTTTGGAGCAAGGGTCTGCTCTGGGACAGGAGTTGGGTGGGGTCAGGGAAGCCGCTGTGTTTGGTCTGGGCCCCCTCCCTGGGGGTTCACCTGCGCACGGGCGGAGGTGAGAAGCTCTGCATTCTCAGGAGTATGGAGGTGTTGAGGATGATGGTGGGAAGGAGGCGGGGAGCGCCTTGCGGAGGTACAGGGCACCCCAGAGCTTTTCCAGCACACGTGGGTGGGTCCTTCCCCGTGGCCTCAGGACAGGCCGATGGCAGGACTTCCTTATGTCCCCGATGTGAGTCTCCAGGGGGCTCGGGAGGGGTCCTCAGTGACCTGGCCTGGCTCGGAGTCGGCGACAGGCTCATGCCCACCATGCCTGGTGGGAATGCAAAGCAGGAAGCAGGAGCTGTGGACCCGTTTCTGCCTTCATGTGGCGCCAGGGCCATCACCTCATCTCCGCTCAGCACAGCCTCTTCCTGCCCTGTGAGTGCAGCTGCTGCGGCCTCTGTCCACTGAGCGGCACTGAATTGGTCAGGCTGAGCGTTTGCCCTGGGAGTGGCACAGGTGCTGCAGAGAGGGCACAGCTGTTTGAGGGGCCGGTGAGGGGCTCACGCTGGCCCGAGGTTTGGAGGCGGGTGGGTCTGCTGTCAGCATCTAAAGCCCGGCGGACGCTGCGCCACTTCCAGTTCCGTCCTCACCGCGCCTTGGAGCGAGCACCGTCTGTGTGCCCAGCGGAGGCCGGGAGAAGTGGGGCGCAGATGGGGGCCTTGCTCAGTCACTCAGGACGGAACCTGGTGCTGGGCCCTGTGGTCCAACTCTGCCTCATAGCGCAAGAGATCGGCTGAGGAGGCCCCTGGCCCGCGGTGCCCAGGGGTGGGTTTGCAGGTGGCGGGGTGGCGGGGGGTGGCTCTGCGTCCACGGTTGGCCCTGACAGTGCCTGGGGGGTGGGACATGCTGCCGGCCAGGCATGGGTCTCTGGGAATGCTTGGTATTTGGAAGGTGGGCGAGAGGCAGGAGGAGGAGAGGGTGACTGGGGGCTGCGGGGAGGCTGCAAGGGCCCTGCTGAAGATGGACCCAGTCCAGAGTAACGTGCTGGAGCAGGATGCCTGGGAGATATGAGCCAGTGAGGGCAGCTCATGTCCTACTGTCTGGAGGAGTCTCTCAGGTTAAAAATCACAGGGCTTCCCTGGTGGCGCAGTGGTTGAGAGTCCGCCTGCCGATGCAGGGGACGCGGGTTCGTGCCCCGGTCCGGGAAGATCCCACGTGCCGCGGAGCGGCTGGGCCCGTGAGCCATGGCTGCTGAGCCTGCGCGTCCAGAGCCTGTGCTCCGCAACGGGAGAGGCCACAACAGTGAGAGGCCCACGTACCGCAAAAAAAAAAAAAAATCACAGCAACAGAGCTCGTGTTCCTCCACATCTGCCCCACGTTGATGTGACCATCACACATGAAAAACACACATCTGTGCATTTAGGTTTTGTGGAGAGTGGCCTCCACACACCCCAGCCACATCTGACATGTACCGTTCCAGACGAGTAAGCACAGGTGAGCCTCTCAGGAACTAGCAGGTGTTTGAATGGCCCTATTTCCTACTGGTAGTTGTTGTCCAGGTAAGTAGAAGTTGATCGATAAGTAAAGTCATTTTTTAGAAAAGATTTTTGATGACAAGAAGCATTTGGGAGTATGAAATAAGGAAAACAGTTAATCTAACTTAAAATATTAAAACATTGCTTCCATTCCTAAATGTATCCACTTTAAGTATTTTAAGGATTGGGTCCATAAGACAAATAGGAGTTGTTAATGAAAGCTAATTTTAATTTATATTTTAGTGATCTTTATGCATAAATATAAATTAGGAACTAATTTCATAAGTATAGCTAATAAAATTATAGCCTTACATTTCTCTTTTTCCCCCCCCTTTTTTTTTTCCATCTTCAGACCATGGTTCTGAAAGCCCTGCTTAGCGGAACCCTCTAGCAACACCATGAGGATGGTGGGTGGGGAGGGTGAGCTGCCCTTCTCTCAGAATTTGTATTGCCGGGTCCCAGGTTCATTTTATAACTTCCCTACTTGAGTTTGCTGTGTGGGTGTGCGGTAACAGTTCTCATCTCCATTAAGAACTGAGGTTAGTGAAGTTTAAAAAATTCAGTTTCTGAATAAGATCTTGCAAATGGGTGCTGATCCCAGCAACGTCCAAGCCAAGCCACCCCGGAATGGCGACACCTCCTAACAGGGCCACACTCCTGTCCCTTCCCTGCCCCGCTGGTTTTCTCTGTTGTCTTTTCTGTTTTATTGGCTTTTGCTTTTTATTACTTTGTTCTTTCTGCATTGCATGTAATTGGTTTTCATCTCCCGGCTTGTGTTTTGCCTCAAGCCTCTTTCCTCCTGGTTTCCTCTTTCCTCCCTTTTGGTTTTGTTTTGTTTTATGATTCCATTTTATCTGTACTATTGCTTTATCAGCTATCCCTCTTTGTTTCATTATTTTTCAGTGGTTGGCCTAGGGTCTGCAAAGTGCATCTTACCCCTGACACGCTACTTTAAAAAAATGACACTTTTATTAATAAATAAATGGCACCATCTCACATGGAGCGTAAGAAGGTTACAAAATCACATCCTGTCACACAGTTTATCCTGTAAACTCCACAGTGTTTGCTTTTATTTTTACCAGAGTCAATTATCTTATAAAGAAGTTGCACATGGAAAAATGTCTTCTGCTTTTACACATCTGTTTACCGTCATTGCCACTTGCCATTCCTTGGTGTAGATCAGGTTGTTTCCTTCTCCCTGGAGAGCTTCCTTCTTTTTTTTTTTTGTAATTTAAGTCTTCTTGTGATGAATAATTTTGGCTTTTGTTTTTCTGAAAAAGTATTTCTTTTGCTTTAATTTTTGAAAATTATAGTACTTGGCTAATGAATTCTAGGTTGAAGTCATTCTTTCTTTAAAGATGTCTCTCCCTTGTCTGGTTTCCATTGCTTCTGCAGAGAAGTCTGCTGTCATCCTTATATCCGGTTCTCTGTGTGTAATAGGTGTTTTTCTCTGACTCCTTTTAAGATCTTCTGTTTAATACTGGTTTTCAGCAATCTGATTATTATGTACAAGCATAAGTTGTTTTTTTTTTTAAAGGTTGGCTCTGCTGGGTCTTTGTTGAAGTTCTGGGATCTGTGGTTTTATAGCCTACATCAAATTTGGAAAATTTTTGACCATTATTTCTTCAAGAATTTTTTCAGTCTCCCACTCTTTGGGTTCATTCAGCCTGTGTCTATTGAGCACCGACTGTGTACAAGGTACCGTGCTGGCCTGGTGTCCACAGTGGTCTGGCGTGAGGGCAGGGCAGACAGCACGGGAGAGGAGCTCAGCATCCCACTGCAGGTGCCTCTTTTTATGGTTTGCCTTTGTCTGCCCTGTGGTCCAGGCCAGCATTCTTTTAAAAAATGTTAAGGCAAACAAAATATCCTCATTTTTGTTCTTTGTAGACCAGCACTCACAGTGTTTAAAGCCTCAAAGAACAGCCAGCCCCCAAAGCTCCAGCTTCATTTCGTGTTCACCTAATCCTCCTCCTCCACGTGAGACCCCACCCAGCGTGGTTCACCCTTCATCAGAGGCAGAGAATGGAAGAGGAGGTTTGGGGAGGGGGCTCACCGTGGAAATAGCATAAGTCAGCTCATGTCCCAGAAAGACCACGTCTGCCGCCCCTCACGGTCTGTCTGGAAGTGTGGCTTTCGGCACGGGCTGGACTGGGCTGCACTCTGCTGGTCTGCCGCCCCCGGCAGCTGTTCATGACGCAGCAGTCATGGGGCCGGGGCCTGGGTGTCTGTATAGAAGTTAAGTCTCTTCATCTTCATGTCTGGGAATACTTTTGAAACAGGATTTCTGCCTCACAGCTTTGATCCACATTTTTGTTTTTTGACTCAAAATCTTTCCTGTTCAGCAATCGAATGCAAGACAGTGTCAACAAGGCCAGAAAACAGATGGAATAGACAGTTTAAAAAAAATACGCTTTGGTCAGGTCAGGTGTGGTACCTCGCAACTGGGCAAGGTGATGATTCAAGGGCTGTTCTAATTTACAGCTGAATTTTGTATGTGTTTTTAGGAGAAATATATGAAAAGTTCACACATAGAATTCAGCAGTATGTAAAAAGAATACATGTAAAAAGACCTATGGCCAAGTGTGTTTTATCCCAATCAGGAAATGGATGAAAGACGCTTCCCTGGAAAGTCAGGCAGATGAGAAATTAGCCCCTGGAAGGAGATTCAGCCTTTTGAGCCATCGGGGGTGCATATTACAACCATGACAAGGTACTACACACTCCTGTCGGAAAAGCTAGAATAAAACACATGGCAAGGATGCAGGGAAACTGGTCACACACGCTGCCGTGGGGATGGAAGTGGTGCAGCTGCTCGGGAAAACAGCAGTTTCTTTAAAAATTAAACATGAAACTACCATACGACCCACAGTCACGCTCCTGGGTGTTTATCCCAGAGAAACGAAGACTTAACATTCACACAAAAACCCCTGTGTGAGCGTTTGCAGCAGACTAATAGTAATAGCTTCAAACTGGAAACAGCCCGGTGCCCTGTAGAGGGTTAAGCTGTGGAGTATTTTTCAGCCAAAAAAGGAACAAATCTCCAGGGAATCACCGAGTGAAAAAAGCCAATCTTGAAAGGCAACACACAGTATGATTGCATTTATGCAGTGTTCTTGAAAAGACAGAATTACAGCACTGCAGTAGCAGGTTCACGGCTGTGAGCTGGGTGGGGGTGTGAGGGGGAGACGCAGCTATAAAGGCACCACGAGGGGTCCCTGTGGCCGTGGAAATGCCCAGGGTCCCTCAGCCCAGTGGAGGCCACGTGTTGGCTTTTCAAGATGTTACCATTAGAGGAAACCGTGTAAAGGCTACATGGGATCTCTGTGTATTATTTCTTAACACTATATGTGAATCTACCGTTTCTCAAAAAAAAAAAAAAAAAGCTTAATTTAAAAAAACCACAACAAAAAAGGACCTACTGTGTAGCACAGGGAACTCTACTCAATATTCTGTAATAACCTATATGGGAAAAGAATCTAAAAAAGAATGGATACATGTGTATGTATAACTGAATCACTAAAAACAAAACAAACAAAAAACAACCACACAACAACATTCAAGCAAAGTAAGCAAAAACCTTCTCAAAACTCTTCAGTAGCATAACTGCATTAATATAAATTAATCATCGTGTGTACGTGCTGTGTAATATTAGAGCAAGATTTAAGAAACTCAGATATCGTGGGGTGACTTTTGATAGTTTCTCAGTAAGGTGACTTGGGCAGTGATGTGGGTTTGCCGACCACCCTGACCTTCCTCACCGTGTTGCTCGGCGGTCAGCGAGGTGGAGAAGGCACAGCCAGGGGATTGGAGGTTAGTGTCGTTTCCCCGAGGCCAGCCAGCCTCTGAGAGCCTTACAGGACCCTCACCAAGGGGCAGGCTCTCTGCTGCCATGGGCACCCCGGCTACCCTCCCCCAGCCAGAAAGGAGGAGAAAGGCCCCCTTCTGCTGCTGCGAGAGGTCCCTCCCTCAGAAACCAGCCCGTTCCCTGCCTCTGAGCCCTGGGGCTGCTGGTGTCTGAGCATCAGGACCCCTGATATCTGCGGCAGGAACCAGCCTCTCTCCAAATCTGCCTCACCGACCAAAGGGCCGGACCTTTTTACCTCTGAGCAGTCTTAGAGATGTGTGAGCGCGCTGCAAGCAGATACCCCAGCAGAACGTGCAGGGGGGCTTCCCTAGGTGCTGGGGCACTGTCAGACAGCAGGACAGGGCTGCCGGGAGTCAGAGTGCAGAGCTGGGTATGCGGAGAGGGGATCGTTTCCATGGCCAGGAGGAGGCAGGGCCGGGTTCCAGGACCAAGGGTGGAAGGAGGTGGTGATGCAGGGTATGGAAGAGGATTTAGAGGGCAGCTAGCGCAGATCTTTCCTGGGAGGGGGTGTGCCCATCTGGTAGCAGCCTAGACGGAGGGAGGCAGCCAGGGAAGTGAGCTCTTAGGGCTGCGACTCTTGTTTATTTAGAGGCTGGAAGGAGAAAGTTATTGAGAAACGGGGCTGTTCCAGTGGCTGCAGTGGATTTATTGTAAGTCCTGTTTGTTATTGTTTCACAGATTATCGGTTGCCAGGTGAGGAGGGAGCCCCCCAACTCCACTGAGCGATACACGCGGTGGATCAACCAGCTGGCGCCCGACCAGCTGCTCACCCAGGTATGCCTGTGGTCTGCAGTTGGCCCCAGCCTCCCCGAGAGGGACTTTTCATGCTCTTCGCACCTGTGCCGGCCTGCCTCCTGGGTGCCAGGCGCAGTCCAGGTAGGCGCTCCTTGGAGAAGGGGGACGGCGTTTCAGAGGAGCCCGGCCTGGGGCGGAGCCGGAGCCAGAGGGCAGGTGTGCAGGGCCTGGCTGGAGACCTGGGAGCAGGGCACCCCCAGGCCAGCCACGTAGGCTGAGGTGGACGGGTCCAGAGGGCTGGAGGCCAGGGCTCGGGCAGCGCTGAGCTGCTGCAGGGGTGAGGTGTCCAGGAAAGGCCTGAGTGTCTGGCGGGTCGGGGCCTTCCCCGAGCAGGGCAGCTGGAGGGGGGCCAGGTCTAGGGGAATGAGCTGAGATGCACCGTCTGGGTGGAGCTGGTCAGCAGACATCAGGAGCCCTCGGAGCTAGAAGAGGGTGTGGGCTGAAATCAGACTAGAAGCCACCACGGGCGGGGCCACGGCCTGGGGGAGGAGGCCAGGAAGAGGTTCTCGGTCTCAGCTGTGGGGTCCCGAAATCCGTGGGACTTCGGGTGGGTCCACGACTGTGTGTTGATGAGGTGTTGAGTGAGGACAAGAACCACAGATCCTCTGTTCATCCACCTTTGAAAACAAGCCACTGCCTCAGCGTGCCAGCAGCCACTTAATGCTCCGTAGCGAATCACCCCCAAACAGAGACTTAAAACAGCCCCGGCTCTTGGGGGTGGGCCCAGGCCTGCTGCATTTGCCTCTTGGCCCAGCCCTGGTGCCCCGCCGACGGCAGATGCTCCAGACTCTTCCTCCTGCTGGACGAGCTGTTCCCAGGACTCACCCCGCCCGCCCCCCCCCCCCACCGTAGCGAATCACCCCCAAACAGAGACTTAAAACAGCCCCGGCTCTTGGGGGTGGGCCCAGGCCTGCTGCATTTGCCTCTTGGCCCAGCCCTGGTGCCCCGCCGACGGCAGATGCTCCAGACTCTTCCTCCTGCTGGACGAGCTGTTCCCAGGACTCCCCCCGCCCGCCCCACCCACCCACCCAAGACCGGAGAAATGTGCTCCTCAGGGTGGGGGCCCCAGCCAGAGGGGGAGGAGTGGGGAGCAGCCCCCCAAAGCCCAACCAGGAAGTAGCTCTAGAGGCCTGGAAACATTCGCGCAGTGAGGTGCTGGGATCTGTCCCACGTTGCGATTTCCTGTGATCCTGCCATATAATGAAGTGCTTTTTTCTAAACTCTGAATTTTGAAAACTGAAATCTTGGTACAATGGAATGATTTATAATGATAATCAGCTTCTGAAATTAGAGCTGCTTGCGATTATGGCATCAGGTGTTCTGTTCACTGAACTCAAAGTGACTCAGGAGAAACCCTGAGTTTCCTCTTGCGGGGCTGTGTCTCACGTGCTGCTTTGGAGAAACCCTGAGTTTCCTCTTGCGGGGCTGTGTCTCACGTGCTGCTTTGGAGAAAATCCAAGATTGTTTACCCTTTCCTCTTCACTGCTGGGTTTGCCAGTTGCCTCTGTTCTCAAACTGACTTCACCAGCTTTTAAGTTCTGTGCCGTTCAGGCTGGTCCACGCACACAAAAAGCACTTTTGCATTTGGATTTACTTTTCCCATTTTGAGATGAATATTCCAGTAATGGCCTAATAGCTACAGGTGGTGCACTAATAACAGGTAATAATAATAGGCGCACTAGTAACGAGTGAGGGCAGTGCAGGCACTGGGGAGGCTCAGTCACTGCTGCTCCCCCAGCCGTGAGGAAAGGAGAGGAGCCGGTGCATGTGGCCCACGTGGCCTCCTCGGAGCTGTCAGGGTCTCTGCTGTTGGTGCGGGAGCTCTCGGGTTGATGTTGACAGTCATGTGGGATGGTTGCAGCTCTGTCCTGTCTGCACCAAGCGGCCCTGGATCACCGGCAGCCACTGAGCGTCTGGTTGCTGCAGAGCTGTCGGGAGGGTGTCCTTCCGCGCGGCGGGGCATACGAGGTGGTGGAGCTGTGAGTCCACAACAGCTTCAGGCCTCTGAGCAGAAGGGAGTCTTCCCTCCAGGTTGTGAAGGTACCTGAAGGACAAGCCTTTGACCTTAGCATCCCGAGTTGGGAAGAGGGCCGAGGGCTCTGGGTACACAAGCTCTGGGTACCCCTTGCACCTCAGTTGGCATTTGGATATGAGTGTGCAAACCATCATTGGCGCATGGAGAATAAGCACTGGGTCTGTGACTCCTGTCGCCATCCCTCTCCTGGCCCTTCCCTCCGTGGAGCAGGTCCAAGCCGCGGGTCACGGCTCTGGGATGTACCCCCTGTTTACAGATGCCCTCCCAGGACGTGCACTGATGGTTTCAGAACAAAGAATCACAGCCGCCTCAATGAAGAGCTAGTAAGAGCTTTCATATCCTAACTGGGAAATTAAAATGTCCCACCGAGTGTGAATCCCCTGGCCTGCGGTCAGCCCTGGGTCCCCCTCAGATGCGCAGCTCTGCACCTGCAAGGGGGCTCTGGAAACGCTCACCTCAGTCCCGAGTATTGGAGGGTCTGTGAGTAAGTGTAGAGGTGGCTGCGTGAGAGAAACTGCTGAGCTGGCTTCTGCCATGTGCTGGATTTTCTGGGAGAACGTGAGTCACACAGAAACTGTGTGACTGAACACTGAGGGTATAATTTACATGCAGCACATTCTCAGCCAGAAATACAAGTTCTGAGCTGAGGGCAGACTTAACTGTTTACTGTTAAGCATCATAGAAATAATTATGGTAGGGTCTTCCCAAACAGTGTTTTTCTTTAGCAAGTTAGGGGAAATTAAAGTATAAAGTTTCTCAAAATAAAGTGAAAGAAGATCTCTCTTATTTAAGCCATTTCTCAACTGTTACAGTCACAGAAATCGCCAGCACTCTGTGGGGTCTTTGTTCATAGTCTAAACTGAGTCACATTTGTGAGGTGGAGAGCAGCGTAATTTGGTTTGATATTTGTGTGTCTACTTGAATGTCTGATTAGATACCCACCATGCACAAAGTTGAATCAGAGTACCGTAAAATTAACACTCTGCTAATTCCAAATAAACCAAGAGGTGGAAAGTTGTCTGGACAAATGGCCTGGAGCCTGTGCCAGCCTGAAAATGCACCTGTTTTAGGCAGTGCCCACTTTACACCTTCAGCGAGGGGCTGTTCCCAAGGGACCTGCATCTCTTGGATGGGGATGGGGGGCAAGGGGAGGCAAGGCCAGACCCCACCCCCGCCTCAGAGGCTGCCCCTGGGGGATCCCGGCAGCTCCAAGGAGGGGTTGGGGGCCCTGGCAGCCTGCATGGGTAGCTGGGTCCTTACCGAGGCCAATGAGCCCAGCCCTGGCTGCCTGGAGTACGTGCTCAGGTTCACAGCGGAAGGAAGACAGCAGGAGTGGGTAAGGCGCCCCCTTCAGCCCAGCCCCATGTGGTCCTTGTCCTCCATGCCTGCTCCCAGCTGCCCTTGCACCTCTCTCCAGGATCCGTGCTTCCTTGGTGTCTTAGCCTGCTCGGACTGCCATAACAAATGCAACAGAGAGCTATTTCTCGCAGTCTGGGGGCTGGAAGTTTGAGATCAAGGTGCCAGCAGGTGGTTCCTCCTGAGGCCTCTCTCTTGGGCGAGTAGACGGTCGTCTCCACCCCGAGTCCTCACAGGGCCTTTCCTCTGTGAGCTCACTCACTCCCAGTGACTCGTGGATCATGGCTCCACCCTTACGACCTCATTTAACCTTAATTACCCCTTTAAAGGCTTCATCTCCAAATGCAGTTGCCTGGGGGGTTAGGGCTGCAGTGGGCTTTGGGGGACACAATTCGGTCCATAGCATTTGGACACCCTCCTTGGCTCCTCCACAGCCCCTGGTGGTCCCCCCTGGTCTGTGTCCCCTGCCCCTGGGCCCACAGGACACAGTGGTATGTGAACAGGGCTGCAGCGAAGAGAACAGCCCCCCTTCCTGTACAGCCTCTCCTTCGTGGCCCCGTGCGTTCCACAGGGAGGGTGTCACCCAGCTTTCATCTGCCCGCAGCGTCTGAACAGCTTGGCATGAACGTAAATGGGAAAAATTTACAACCCACCTCCCAGCACTAATGCACAGACTCCCACTTTATCCAGTATCCAAGGACTCTAGACTAGCAAAATTTCTAGATAATTAAAGTTTACCTCTGTAAGTACAGACTCTTTACCTAAACCAGCACTCCCCAAACTTGTTTGATCATAAAATAGCTCAAAAACTTGAAAACAATGCAGATCCCTTGTCTACTCCCGTAGAGTTTCTGATTTAGTGGCTCTGGAAATGTGCATTTTTAACACGTGCCTGAATATTCTTGATGGAACTCTTTGAGAATGTTACTCCTGCCTCTAATCTGGGGGCCAGGCTCCTGGTACCTGCACAGAGAAACTGCTTCCCCACCGGATCGTAGGCATTTTACAAAGCCTATAACCAATTGAAAACTGTGTGTCTTGAAATAACTCCAGACTCACACAGAAGTTGCAAAGAGTAGAGTTCCTGTGTGCCCTTCACCCAGCCCCCCATTCGTAACATACCCACAGTACGATGTTCAAACCAGAAGATGCACACTGGTACAACCCTGCTCGGAGTTCACACATTTCTTGTTTGGGGAGGGGTGGGGGGTTTATGGAATTTCATCACGCGTCTGCATCAGCACAGCCCCTGCCACGATCAGGATATGGGACTATCCTGCACCCCAAAGAAACTGCTTTCTAGTCACACTTTCTCCTGCCCCTGCCCCTGCCCCTGCCCCTGGCAACAACTTCTCTGTCCCCTTCGCTGGAGTTTTGTCATTTGAGACAGTTATATCAGTGGAACCACGCCTTTTTCATTCCACATTGTGCCTTTGAGATGACAGTTTGTTCCTCCTGTTGCCGAGAGAGTCCAGTTGCAGGGACGTGCCCGTCATTGTGGGGCTGTGACAAGTAGGGCCGCCGAGACCCTGATGGACAGGCTTCACTTCCTGGGATGAGCACCGGGTTTGGGACTGTGCATCTGTGT